TTTTAGCTAATTTAGTCTGGCTAAATTAGCTCTGTTTGGGAAATTGTTTTTGGCTTTTTTGACATTTTTACTTTTTTTATGAGAGAAAAACTGAGATGATTATAGTTTAGATGTGATATTTTGGCTTGTTTTGCAAAGTAAGTTAAAATTTTCTTACTTTTTTTTAAAAAAATATGCAAAAATATAGAGAGATGATGTAACCTAAAAAAGTTAAAAAAAACTTAATTTTTAACCCAAATGCCAAAATAGGCCATTGAATTATTTAGCCTATTTTACTTTTTTGTATTTTTTTATCCAAACTTAAACCCAACTGCTCGTTTGTCAAACGAAAACTAAAGAAAAAATTTAATCATAATTAAAATATATATATAACTAAAATTGTATAATATATAAAGTATGCACTATAAAAATCTCCAACACAAAAAAATTCAAAATGAGAGGGAATTTAAAAATCAGTGTTAGCGTTTTGTTTTTAGAGCAGAGTGTTAACGCCAGTTAACATTGTTTGAACTAGTCAAACGTTTGTCAACATATAGTGGCAGTGGTGAGGCACTTTTTAATTGGTTTGGGACATTCCAGCCACATGTGACGGGGTGTCCTCAGACAATCAATAATCAAAATTGTTTTGGTGTTTTAATGTATGAGTTGTAATAATTTTAATATATTTGTGGGGTTTATTTGATGTGATATTTTGATTATATATATATATATATATTTGAATTTCTATTTTACTAGAGCTCAATTAGAGCTCTAATTTTAGAAGGATGTATTATTATTGATCAATAATTTCTCCATAGCGCATACCATAACATTATTGGTTGGTCTTGAACACCCTTATGTGATGCTCAATAATATTATAATTGGTGAAAGGGATATGATTTATAAATTTGTATTAATTGATTAAAAAATATTAAAAAAATATAATGAATTGTAATTGATAAAATAAATGGTCGCGTACAGCCTCTGAACTAGCAAATAATTTTTCCAAAACATTAATAAAAAAATAAGAGAGTACTATCAATCAATCAATGTCTTTTATATGTATTTTCAGTGGCTGCTGTACGAGGGGCACAACAATCACTGTTGTCTAATGGGCCCATTTCGAAGCCTATTTGGATGATCCAAACCGTTCACATTTTAAATTACATTAAGTAGAATATACTTGAAAAAAATTAAGTTAATCGGATATCGTTAACTCTTTCATCTACTCACATTTGTATATAAAAAATAGATGACAATTGTGATTTAAAGTATTAAAATGAATACAAATATGAGTGGATGAAAATGTTAACGATATCCGATTAACTTGATTTTTTTAAGTATATTCTACTCGATATATTTTACAATATGAATAGTTCGGATCATCAAAATGGATCCTGAAATAAGTCCATTTGGCTGCACAACAGTAGCTACTGTGCAAGGGGCACAACAACCCCCCAAGTCCATTAATTACCAAAGGGTATCCAATGAAAACTGTATGTAGATATGTACACATGAAAAAGGGTAAATTACACTGACATTGCTTAACAAATCTAAAATCACACTAATGGGATAATCAATGGATAAACTATTAATAAGTCATAATAGATAGATTTAATTTTTATAAAGTTCTATTGAAAATATGTTTTAATAAATCGTTGTTAAAAATAATTTTTTATAACAATTTTTTTTATATATGTCATTAAAAATTAACTATTAGTGACTTTTGTTTTGAGTTTATAGGGTTCATAAATTTGTATTGAGCAATTGATGAATATGAAAAACATAACAAATGAGTTTATAGGGTTCGTAATTTTGTATTCAACAATTGATGAATTTGAAAAATATAACAAATTGTGATTGGTGAGAGAAAGATTCCTAGACCAACCAATATTTTTTCATAACATTATCCAAAAAGAAGATGGTACTGTCAATCAATCAATCAATGTATTTTGTACAGTTGAATTGAAATGGGAAAATTATCAGAAAGTGAGGGGCCATGTCTATTAATATTAAGAGTTATGTTAGGGATTTTAAATAATTTATTATTTTTTTTTTGTCAAATCTCTCACATGGGTATAGAACATACACACATGTAGGTTTGTGTGGATCCTACACTTATATAAGAGATTTGGTAAAAAATATAATAAATTATTTGAGATCCATAAAATTTTTCTAATATTAATTGCCAGAGGTATCCAACGAACCTATTTTGAAAAGTTTATTAAGAGTTAATTTTTTTATATTTTTTTTGACTTTTTAAAATTATATTAACTGTTTATTTATTATTATTTTTTTTGCATGTTTTAAAAAAAAAATTAAATTAACTTTTAATTTATTTCTCAAAATAGGCCGTATATGAAAAAGGGTAAATTACATTGACACCCCCTAATAAATCTAAAATCACACTGATGGGATAATTTGGGGATAAATTATCAATAGGTTTTAATAGTTGGACTTAATTTTTATCAAGTACTATTGAAAATAAGTTATAGTAAAATCGTCATTAAAAATAATTTTTTGTAATGATTTTTTGCATGTAATTAAAATTTGACAATTAGGCCTCGTTTGGGATGCTACCTTTTTAGCCAATTAGCCAAAAAGCTACTAAATTAGCCAATTAACCAATTAGTCATACCAAAAAGTCAACAATTACGGTTTCTCTCTACTTTTTGCACAGCTTTTCGTAATTAGTCAAAAAGTCATCCCAAACATACAAGTTTTTTTTACCTATCTTTTTAGCCAATTAGCCAAAAAGTTATTAAATTAGCCTGTTCCCAAACGAGGCCTTAGTATTTATTTTTATTTATTTTTATTTTTTTGAGTTTACGGGATTTACAAATTTGTGTTGGTAATTAGGGAATATGAGGAAATATGAAGAAATATGGTGAATTGTGATTGATAAGAGACATAATCACGAATTTGGGGTGGTTGTTGTATGAGGTGTATAACAGTCACTGTTGTGAATCCAAATGAGCCTATTTTGGGGCCAATTTTGATAAATCCGAACCGTTCACATTTTAGAATGCATCATTTAAAACATACCTGCAAAAAATTAAGTTAATCAGATATCGTTTATCCATTCATCCACTCTTATTTGTATCTACAAAAATAAATAATAATTGTGATTTAAAGTATTAAAATGAATACAAATGTGAGTAGATGAATGAGTAAACAATATCAGATTAACTTAATTTTTTACAATTATATTTTACTTGATATATTTTAAAATATGAACAATTTAGATTATTAAAATTAACCATAAAATAGATCCATTAAACTGCACATGACTATTGTGCATTCCCACACGTCAGCTAGCCCAAATCCCATAATCACGGCCCTAGACTAATCAATAATTTTTTCATAACATTTACCCAAAAAAGAATATGGCACTTATCATTCAGTCAATGTCTTTTGTGAAAGTGAGGAGCCACGTCTATTAATATTAATCGCGGAGGATATCCAATGAAAACTATATGTACGTACATACACATGAAAAAGAGGTAAATTTCACTGACACCCCTTAAATGTGACGATTTAAATAAATATAATTTTTAATTTTCAATAAAAAAATACATAAAATTAAAAAAATTAATATAAACTAAATAAGTTCACTTATTTCGGAGATGTCAAACTATCTCCAAATTCAAAAAATATCGGAAATACTAAATTTATAATGTAAAATTTAAGTTGTGTGTGTAGGATCATATCATCACTATCTGCCCCTTTGATGTCAAGTTTGGGTAATTTTTTATTTTTTTATGTTCGGGTTCATAGAATTACTCTATATACATACGTATGTATCACTTTACAAGTAGTGTCTTCCGGTTGAGACCTTGCTTGGCATTGATTTTTTAAGTTGAAATAGTCAATAAAAATAAAAAAAATAAAAATGGGTTAAAATAATAAATAAAATAGAATAAAATATCACATTTTACATATGAATCAATTATATTTTCTCTCGCAATTATCAATTAAATTATAATTTTTTTTTTACAAATCATCCTAAATATAAAAGTTAAAAAAACTACTCCCTCCGTATCAAAATATTAGCCTCTTATTCTATTTTTTATTATCTCAAAATATTAGTTCCCTTTCAAAAATTAAGTCCTAAAATAATATAAATTTTCTATTTTGTCATTGTTTTAAATTCATTAACAACACAAAAAGTATAATAATGACAATTGATATTCTTAAAAAAATATACTATCAAAGAATAATTTTTAAAAATTAATATTTTTAAAAGACAATAATTATACCACTAAAAAAGTTAGATTCTACCAAAAAAAAAAAAAATGATACACACACACAAAAAAAAAAAAAAAGAGACAATTATTTTAAAACAAAAGGAGTACTTGAGATAGGCAACGTTAGAAACGAGGCCTCACATGGTATTATTCTTGCCTCTTGTATACTCTGCAGTCGTTTGGCCTAAAGAGTTGGGAGATTTTTTTTTATTTTTTTTTATTTTTGACTATTTTAGTTATAAAAAAAAATAAAATAGTTAAATTAAAAAGTTAACAAGATAAAATGTCATATTCAATCATAATTATTTTATTTTTTTCTTAAAAAAGTCAAAAAGTCAAAAAGTCAAAAAACTCATCATAAATAAAAAATTTTAATAATAAAAAAGTTAAAAAGTCAACTCAATCCCAAAAAAGTCAAAAAAAAACTTATCTTATACATGATTTTTTAATAATACAAATTTCAAAAAAGTCAAAAAGTCAAAAAACTCATCATAAATAAAAATTTTTAATAATAAAAAAGTTAAAAAGTCAACTCAATCCTAAAAAAATAAAAAAAAAGCTTATCTTATACAAGATTTTTTAATAATACAAAGTCAAAAAGTCAACCAATCCCAAACGAACTTTCTATTACAAATATGCATGCACTAATCCCTCAAATTTTGCCAAATAATTCTTGTCCTTGTTTACCTGTTTCACTCTCTCTCTCTCTCTCTCTCTCTCTCAATCATGGAGAAACTAAAAAAAACATGTCAAACTTGTGGAGATAAAGAGAGAATGGGTGAGGAGGAGATGGAAGAAGTGCTCAAAACCCTTCCCGTAGAGAAACTCCCAGAAGGTATTGATATCTGTTTCTATGAAGGGCATTGGTATCGATCTGTATTCATCCATGGCATCATCAAATTTCAGCAACACTTCAAAGCACAAGACACTGATCTGATACTAGCCACCTTCCCAAAATCAGGCACAACATGGTTGAAAGCTCTCGCATTCACCATAGCAAACCGTAACAACTACCCTGTCAGTGAAAGCCCATTGCTTATCACAAACCCTCACAGCCTCATCAATTTCCTCGAATTTGACTTCTATGGCAAGAACTCAATCCTCAAGCTTGAAGACTTGCCTAGCCCTAGAGTCTTAGCAACCCATATGCCACACTCTGCATTGCCTACTTCCATTAAAAACTCTAATTGTCGCGTTGTCTATCTCTGTCGAAACCCTCTAGATGTGTTTATCTCATTTAGACATTTTGCTGCTAAGCTTTCAAATAAACCTTTCGATCCAAGTTTGATAAAGGAAAGTTTTGACATGTTCTGTCGTGGTGTGTCCACATATGGGCCATTCTGGGATCATGCGTTAGAGTACTGGACGGCAAGTCAAGAGAGACCAAACAAGGTGCTATTTTTGAAATATGAAGATATGAAAGAAGACCCCATTTCTCACTTTAAAGTGTTGGCTAAGTTCATGGGTTTACCTTTCTCTGTGGAAGAAGAGAGCCAAGGGGTGATTGAGGAAGCATTAAAGTTGTGCAGTTTTAACAACTTGAAAGATTCAGAGGTAAACAAGTATGAAAAAAATAGAAGGGGACATCCGTATAACATGTTCTTTAGGAAAGGTGAGGTGGGAGATTGGGCTAATTATCTTACTCCTTCCATGCTTGAACGCATGAACAAGCTTATGGAAGAAAAATTTGCTGGCTCTGGTTTGAATTTCAAATTCTCTTAAATATTTGAGTTGTTTTCATAATGTAATATAATTTATTTACTATCTCATGTATTGTAATTTCATTAGCTTAATGCAATAATGACCTAAAGTTTTTGGAGACTTGAAGTTCAACATCTGAAATTTTTTAGATTTTCTTTCTTGATTGAGCCACCTTTGATACAATGTGGTCCATATCTAATATCAAGATAATGGCTCTGTTGTGTTTAATTTTTAGAATTTTCTTTTAAAAAAAATTAAAATTTAATTTGCTAAAAAAAGTTTTAAAAAAAAATATTCATGATTTTCATATAGATTTAATTTTTTGGATGGTAAAAATAATTTTTAAAAATTTTGAAATATTTTTTTAAAAATTGTATTTATCAAATTGGTTTAATTTTTATTTTTTCAAAAAATAAATCAAAAATTAATTTGTGGAAATCAAACCAAACGAGGCCAATGTTTTATAAGGATAACACATTAATTATAAATTTGAGGACTTTTTGAGACTTTATCTATCTATCTTCTATACAAACTATATAGGGTAAATTACACTGACACCTCTGAGATTTGATCTAATTACATTATACTTTTTAATGTTTTGGAAATTATATTTCTGTCCTTGTGATTAATAGTCTTATTTAACAAACCCCTATTTATATAAAACATAACTCTTAGCAAAAAAAACAGAAGAAATTACATTAAAAAAACCTAAAGCAAAGGAAAGGGAAATAAAAAAAACAGAGAAAGTAAAGCAAATGAAGAAAAGAGAGAGTGTATGTGTTCAATATACTTATTCCATCTAAATAATTATAATGGCAGAGAACTAGTGTATTTTTTCAAATGTGAGTAAGTGATATATTTTAAACCCAAATCTTAGGAGTGCAAGTGTAATTTACCCTACTATATATTAGTGGTCGTATACACAACACACGTGATATTTGTAATTATATTTTTAAAATGAAAAATTTTATAATAATATAAAGGAAATAGACATTTAAAAAATAGTATTTCATAGTTAATTTATAAATTATGAAAATAAAATAAAAATTCACACCATTGTGAAAACATAATCGTAAGAATAATCTAAGTGGAATTACATTTAGGTGGGAGAAATAAAATAAAAAAAAATTACAAATATATGGGGGTATATGTGTGTCTGTGATAGAATGTAAATGAAAGGCTGCAAAGGTGTAATAGTGTCATTTGCACTTTTCTATATGTTGATAATTTTTTTTTCTCATTGTTCTACCTATATAGTTTCCTAAATAATCTATTCAAGAAAATGGGAAGAAGAAAAAAGCCCAAAGAAGAAAAATAAATCGTTTGGTTTTGAAAAATGGTTGAGAGTATTAAAAGTAATACTCTAATAACACCACTAATAATATGATAGTGGATATCTTTAGTTTTTTTTGACATTTCTAATATATTAGTACTATTAATATTTTTTTTAATAATATGAATGGTTGTTGTTTTGTTTTTCACTTTCAACTTTTCTTGCCTTTTCTCTAGCGGCAACTCCACAGCCACCTCTCTCAAACATTTTAGTACTGTTACACAAATTAATGTTTAATATAATATTATTATTTTAAAATTATAAATTTTATTTATTATATTATTATTAAAATATTAATTAATATATCAATGTATGAGTTTATTCGAAACCTTTAAAACCTTTTATTCCAAAACAAATTAAAGACGTGGCCTACATGCATCAGAAAGCAGCCCTCAATTAAAGACGTGGCCCATCAAAAAAGCAACTCCTTTCCAGTCATCGTTGTTCCCAAGACAAATTAAAGACATGGCCTGCATGCGTCAGAAAAGCAACTCGGTTGGTATACAGAACGAGTGGTGTTTATATACCTCAATTAATATATTAATATTAATTATGACTGTATTATTAATTTTACTTATTATATAAAGGGAGCTGTTGTAGAGTTTTAATTAGAGCTTTATCGCACAGTTCATTAGAGCTGTTTGGGAATTAAAAAAAAAAATAGTGAAGTAAATGATAAAAAAAAAGAAAGAAAAAGATAAATTAAAACTCCATCAGATGTGTTTTTTTAGAAGTCTAAATCATTTTTTTTATATAAATTATAAATATAAAAAAAAATTTAAATTATGTCACATTACCAATTGATACACTAATTAATACATATTACATCATTCATACAGAAGACATAGAAAGTAAAGTGTAAATTCACCAAAATAGCCTTATTCGTACCAGAGAATTACTTAGCAGTGGAGTAGCTAAAAAAAAATTACAAATATATAGAAAGTGCAAATAATTTTATGGGCAAATTACATTTTGCATCCCTACACTTTATACAAAATCTCACTTTAGTCTCTACACATCAAATTGTGACACTTAACCCCTTACACTTTCGGTCAAGTGTTACATTGGCCCTTTTGTTAATAGTGATGTTAACAGAAGTTATCCTTTAGGAAGCTAAATGTCATAATTTTGATATGTAGGGATTAAGGCCAAGTTTGACATATTGCAAAAAAGTCAAAAGGTTAAAAAGTTACTCAAAAATTTAAAAAGTTAACACTATTCACCAAAAGTCAACAATTAGTGCTACACAACTCTCAATCCTAATTTTTCCCTATAAATTAATTTTTACAATTTTTTATTACACATTTTTCCATAAAAAGTTAAAAAGTTAACCCAAATATCAATATTTTCTTCCTCAATTTTTTAGTCCAAAAAGACAAAAAGTGCACTTATTTAGGACACCCCAAACAACCCCTAAAGTGAGATTTTATGTAAAGTGCAGGGATGCAAAGTGTAATTTATCCTCACATTATTTTCATGTGACTAACATCTGTTAACAATGAGGCTAATAGAAAGGCCAAAGTGACATTTGACCCAAATGCAGGGGGTTAAGTGTCATAAATTGATGTGTAGGGTTCAAAGTGAAATTTGATGTAAAATGTAGAAATGTAAAGTGTAATTTACCCTAATTTTATAATGATGTGCAAATGAAAAATTGTGGAGCCCAAGTCTCACTTGTCCACCTTTATATTTGTGTAAAAATGTTTTTTTCTATTACACTGTAAAATAGTTCTTCATATTTTTATAAGATAAGATATATAGAGTGTTTGGGAAGAGAGTTAGGGCTAAAATAAGTCATTAAAAGATAAAGTAGATTAAAATAATTAATAAGACAAAATAGTACATTCAATCTATAATAATTTCATTTTTTCTCTTATACACATTAAATCAATTATAAAAAAGCAAATCAATTTTCTAAAAATAATTTTTTTAACCAAATTAAAATAGTCAAAAAAATAAATAAATAAATCAAATAGCCAACTAAAATAGTCAACTTTCCAAACAAGACCATAAAAAGATTTTCCGTACAAGACCAGGGCCAAAAATGTGAAGGGAGATGTAAATATAAATGCATAAAGGTACAAATATATTTGTGATGGAATGTAAATAAAAGGTTATGAGATGCAAGTAATTTTTTTCCCGCTTCTTCCACATGTATGTAGTTTCCCAAAATGTGAAGATAGGGGATCACCGATTGATTTGAATGAGCAATGACATACAGAATGTGACTTTGCATTAATACATCAACTAGCCTATCACCCGTGTTATGCACGGGATAATTTTAGATATTTGTATTTGTTTTAGATTTTTTTTAATATATATATTATGTTTTTTAAGACTTTTTATAAAAATAATTTAACAATCTTATCACTAACCATAGTGTATGGGAGAAGTTAAAAAAGGTACTACAGTAATTATACACGGATTGTATCTATAATTATTTGTATGAGGTGATTTTAAATGCTGATCAGGAGTTTTTGACCAAATCAATAAATGCAGGCATCTGGAAAGACAAGTGAATTGAAAAAAGTTAATAAATGCTGATCAGGGAATTTTGACCAAATTAATAAATGCTGAGTTTTTTTTTTAAATAAATTTTTTTAAAAATTCATATTTGGATTTTGAAACTCCCACAGGCCTTGGGGTTTAAAAACTCCCTTTTGCTTAATATATAGTGCTAACATATCGCCTGTGCTATGCACGAATTGTGTTTACAATTATCTATATATGTGAATTGCAATTTTTAAATGTCTTTTTTTTTTTAAATGCCTTCTTTTTTTCCTTTTTTATATTATATTAAAGTTTAATATTTTGATAACAATCATATGTGTTAGACTTTTCAAGGAATTAAATGTCTTTTTTTTTATTATATTATATTAAAGTTTAATATTTTGATAATAATCATATATATTGGACTTTTCAAGAATTTTTTTATGCTTGTTCTTAATACATTAAAATGTTATTATGAGGGATAATAATCATATGTGTTGGATTTCAAAGAATTTTTTTTATGTTTGTTTTTAATACATTAAAGTGTTATTACGAGGGTAGGATTTGGGAGTTGGGAAAAGTTAATAAATGCTAAGGTTTTTTTTGTTTTTTAAATCAAAAAATCAGAAAAATTAAATTGGAAGATTGGAGCTCTCACAAGGTTTGGGGTTAAAAATTCTCTTTTGTTTAATATATAGTATAGATTATTGGAAAATTTTAAAATGCCCACTTTTCAAAGTGATAAACAGTATGCACACTTAATTATGATTAGTTTTCTGTTTTTAATTGTCACATTAATTTAGTTATAACTCGTGAATTTTTTAATTATGACTCATATTGTGTTTGGTTATAATTTTTTTTTAATTATAACTCAAAAAATATAAAATTATGTTATTTTTTTATTTAGTTGTAAGGTATATGTAGAACATACCTTTAAAGAAGGGTGTACTATAGTGTTTCCCCATCATTTAAAAAGCGTTGGTTTCTCAAAAAATTGTGATTTCAATTTGAGTGAATGTTTGGGTTGTTAAGCTTCTTTTGAGATCAATTTTGGTGATTTAAATTATTTACTTTTTAGGATTACAATATTCATACAAAAAAAAAATCAATATAATTGGATATCAGTAGCTATATATTTAAATTTATTTTAAGAAAAATAGATTACAAATATAATTTTAAGAATTGTAGTTTATTTTTT